GAGGAGGGACCCAATTTAGTTGGGAAAGAAAGTAATTTAAGATCTTTCCCAAGAAATATAAAACTTTCTCTGAGAAGCAAATTTGGAGATTCAGATGACTCCAAAGAGGACTCAAGAATGGAAAGAAATGTTCCTCCCTTTCTCAAAACAATCATACTCATAATCATAATCATGACTATATCATTCCAGCAAATTTCAAGAATTTAGCAAGGTGGTTAGGCATGTCCCTTTTCCTCCCTCTTTCCTATTTTCTACTCTTAGCCCCAGGACAAAGTCAAGTCATTTCTCATCATTTTTTCCACCTTCCTATTTATTCCACTACTCTTTGAAAACAAACCCCTGGGTCAACCACGTCTTCCTTTCACAATGACTCAGGAAAACAATGACAAATTCCATGTGGAAACCAGAGAGCCGAGGGGAAAGTGCTGGCCATTTTCTTCCAGTTCACCACTCTCCTTAAAAAGCTTATGGCTTGGTAGAAATTCTGAATTCTCTTGAAATAACCAGAAAAAGCACAGCTGGAATAGCAATAGCTAAATAAAAATGCAGCTGACCTGCTAATATTAACTAGTCTAAAAGTACCATGAAGCATGTGGTTTTCATTATAGCAACAAAGCCACTATAGTATGACAAGCAGCCTGCCTTCCAAGGTTACCCTCATTTACATGATATTGTATTACACGTGGAGTTGGACTCTTGGGTTTAAAGAAAAACAAGAGTTTCACAGCAAGAGGTGAAATGAAGATTTAGGCACTCAGCCAAAGGTTTGAGACTACCCAGAAATGATCTGCGTTCACAGTCATGTGATTCCTCTCTGCTCAGCCTTCCAGCAGCCTGTCATTTAGTCCACTCGGGTGGAACTTTTCACACATGGCCCTTATTACAGGTAATAGTGTACAAGATCAGGGCATCTCTTGATCAAAACCATATCCTAAATAGCACCTACCACAGGTCTTCAGCATCAACTGAGCTCGTGGTCAGCGAGACAATGTAGTTGGAAAGGGCAGACTTTGGAGTCCCAGAGCTGAGTTGCAAGCCCAGCCTCTGTTCCTTTAATGTTGTTAAATCTTAGGCAAGTTTTTCACTTCTCCAAGCCTCAGTTTGTTAATCTGTAAAAAGACTTACAGGGAGGATTATTACTGCTCTCATATTCAGAGCTAACATTTATGAGCACGCTTATAACACTCCAGGGACTCCACTTCACTTTGTTATGTGCATTATTCTATTTAATCCCCAAAATAATTTGATGAGGAAACTACTAATATTTTCTCCATTTCCAGATAAGGATACTGAGGGTCAAAAAAGCTAAGCAGCTTGCCAAAGCTACCTGATGAGTAAGTGGCTGAGCTGGAGTTTGACCCTGGGTGTGACTCCTGTCAAGGCCTGTGTTCTCACTCTCTAGATTAAGTCAACACTACAACATGACTGTAACATGCAAATAGCAAAATGGTTAAAGGCAAGAGGGTCTACCACTTCCTTGTTGGCCCCTCTCTGGACTTTGGTTTCCTTATCTGTAAAATGAGAGTAGTAATAGCTCCTACCTCATAGGATGGCTATAAAAATTAAATAATATGTATATGACCTATGGAATAATACCCAGCACATAGTAGTTACTCTGCAAATGTTTATCACTATATATGTATTACTACAAAACAGCTGACACACATAGATGATGAGAAATGAGGGAATTAAAATAAGAAACAGAAGAGTATGAGAGGCCACAAAATGACCAACTGCTCTGTGGGCGCTTATAAAACCCTTGTGGGAAACTTGCAGAGATGACCAGAGACACTTTCAGGGGTGCTGAGTTCCTTTGATGCAGAGGAAGGGGTCTCAGACATTAAGATGGGACCATATTTTACACACCTGTTCTATATCTGTAGGTGGTAAAACCAGGAAACAACTGGATAAGAAATGTAATGCTAAACAGATGGATATCTTAGGACCAAAGAGTCAGGCTAGGGCAGTCCCCTAGTGGCCTTGTCCAGGCCCAGGCATAACCTGGAAGCATCGCTTTTGTCTGATGATGTCACTACACAAAGTCACATGGTGACCCTGAGGCAGACAAGCGGGTTGGTGCACAGGAATGGAGCTGACATGCCTTGTTCTTCAACCCCCTAAAGCATGTTCAGATCATACCCATTTCAGAAGGCTGGAAGTGAACCCAGCAAGAGGCTTCTGTGATGATAAGTCTTTGTATCAAAATTGACCTGACTGGGAACTTCTTAGCAAACTTTTCAAACAAGAGAAGGACATTCTCTTAGAGACGTGATGTGAGTGAGGATTAAATGACCTGGTAGAAAATGCAAACCACTTTTAAATAATTTATGGAATTGCTGTCATCATTAAAACCACAGAGATTTATCAACTCTCATTTCCGAGTAAGATTTGAAGGAATAGATTTGCAGTCTTGAGATGGGACAGGGCACCAATAATGAATATTTATGATTCCAGGCCAGAAACAACTTTGTCTCAGATGGTGTTCCTAGATTTTGCTTCCAAGTGTTAATTTCTAGCTGTAGCAAAGATGGTAGCAAGTAAGTGATCATTTCACCTCTTCCCAAACTCCCTACTTTTTTGCACATGTCAGAGGCAACCTCAGGTTTATAACTTTAATTTTAATATCCGTCTCAAGCTAACCCACAGTTTCCTGGAAATAAATGCCTACCAAAAAAAAAAAAAAAAAAAAAAAAAAACCTTTTAAAGAAAAATACAATGAGGCTGCTTGTGGGAAGGGATCTCTTCCTCAAGAAGCAATATGCAGAAATTACCAAAAAAGATGGAAAGAACATGAACTTAAAATCTGACCATATTGAGTCTTATGTTTCCTTACTTAGTGATTTTCAAAATATAGCCTTATTTTTGCAATACTATAAAAGTAATGCTGATTAGTTACTAAAATCTGGATATGATATAGACTTTAATGTACCAAGGAGATGACAAATTCTCATTTTAAAGGCTGTTGATGACTGCTTCTCAGCCTTTTGGCTAAGATCAAGTGTAAAAGTTGTTGATGAAATTTTTCTTAAGAGGAAAGTGTTTTTTCCTTAGCAAAATGCTTTGAAGAGCCATTTGGCTGTAAAGAAATAAAATAAAATAGGTTCTGAAATATTGTTCAGAAGGAAAACCAGGAAACCAGTAGTAACTTTGTTTCTCTGCATAATGATGCAAGAAGAAAAAAATAAGTTTCTAAGAGCAGACTGAGATGGTGGGGACATAAGCTGGTGGAGGAAATAGGGACGTAAAGAGAGAAGGCAGGAGGACCAGAGTTCAGGAAAATGGAATCTGGAGGCCCAGGAGAAGAGAGCTCAAGAGAAATTCTCACTGATGAAAAGGGCTGGGGCTATCTGCATTTAGAAATCAATGGTGATATCCCATATTTAGTTTTAAAGAATTTGCTATGCTCTCCAGCAATGCAATCTCTGTTTTCAAAAACTGTTTGTAAAATTTAACTATACACAAATGCTTTCTATAAAGGCACTTAGGGAAGATAAAGGAAAAGCAGCAGCTGTGTTTCCGTTTTGAGAAAAGAAAACCACCTGAGGCCGAGAAGTGAGATTAAGAATTCACCAAAATCAGAGAACCTAGGAGAAAGTTACCACATCCCACCCCACCCTGCCCCTGAGAACTTTCATAGAAAATGAATAGCTTCTGGGAGGCCGAGGCGGGTGGATCACAAGGTCAAGAGATGGAGATCATCCTGGCCAACATGGTGAAACCCCATCTCTGCTAAAAATACAAAAATTAGCTGAGCATGGTGGCCCACGCCTATAGTCCCAGCTACTCTGAGGCTGAGGCAGGAGAATAGCTTGAACCTGGGAGGCAAAGATTGCAAGTGAGTTGAGATCGTGCCACTGCACTCCAGCCTGGGCAGCAGAGCTAGAGTCTGTCAGAAAGAAAGAAAGAAAGAAAGAGAGAAAGAGAGAGAAAGAGAGAGAGGGAAAGAGGGAAGGAGGGAAGGAAGGAAGGAAAAAAAGGAAAAGAAAAGATTAATAGCGAAGTATTCTGAGTTTCCCTTTACATATGCAAGCTATTTGTATTTGAATAGTAATAGCTGGAGTCATCAATGAGGCTGGCAGAATTGGAGAATACTGAGAAAGGAGACATCTGGATTACATTAAATAAGTGTAATCTCCCCTGATGCAAAAATCTTTCTTATCAAAGAAAGAAGAAAGGTTAGGTAGCATCACCACCTTTCTTGAAGCTGGTGCCATTATCAAAATAGTCCAGTAATCATTAAGAAAGCAGCTGGTGAAATTCAAATATAGTCTTTATGGCTAGAAAAATAGTTTTATCTCAAAAGTGATTACTCAGGATGCAGCTGCAAGAGCATGATTTCCGTCTTTACATACAGAGAAAAATTTCCTATGAGCTTTTGCAGTGGCAATGGAAAGAGGAATTAATCCACAAGTTCTGAAAGTCTTCATGATTTTGGCAAGATGTGATTTTAAGGGTGTGGGGGGCTTAGTTGCTCTTTATACCCACCTCCGTAGTCTGGAAGTCATGCCATTTGAAGTCAGTGGGTTTTAAAGATTCAGGAAACACTACCCAAGGTACCTGGCTACAGGACTCAGCTTGCTGAGAGAGAGTATTCCTTTCCTTAAGATTTCTACACACGTGACAGAGAAATTGTTACACAAAGTTCTGACCATACCTGTGTATCAGACTGTTCAGCCACAGTCTCTTATAGAAAATTGTAATGAATTGCTTTTCAATGTGCACCTGCAGCAAGCTCTGAGACAATCCTCCAGGAAGTCTTCCTTAATCCTCCCCAATATGAAGTAGGATCCCTCTTGTGCTTGAAATAATTCTACAGATGACTGGAAAAGAGGCTGGGTGAAATAAGCCTCTCATACACACATCTCGCTGGTGCAAAAAGTACTTGCGGTTTTGGACCGTGAACTTTAAATCATTATAACTAGGCTCAAACACATCTTTAATCAAAAAAGGAAACATTACAATCAATGCATTTTTGCCAATGAGAAATAAGTTTACTCCTGTAGCATAAAAATCCATGCTTTGGGATTCGACAAACTTTTGGAAAGCATTTTCTGCATCCTGCTGGTTGTGGAAGCATTTTCCCTGCAAAAAGTTGTCGAGATGCTTGAAGAAGTGGTAGTCGGCTGGCAAGTGGTCAGGTGAATATGGGAGATGAGGCAAGACTTCGTAGCCCAATTTGTTCAACTTCTGAAGCTTTGGTTGTGATGTGCAGTCGGACATTGCAGTGGAGAAGAATTGGGCCCTTCCTGTTGACCAATGCCGGCTGCAGGCACTGCAGTTTTCCGTGCATCTCATTGGTTTGCTGAGCATACTTCTCAGCCGTAATGGTTTCCCAGGGATTCGGAAAGCTGTAGTGGATCAGACTGGCAGCAGACCACCACGCAGTGACCATGACCTTTTTTGATGCAAGTTTGGCTTTGGGAAGTGCTTTGGAGCTTCTTCTTGGTCCAACCACTGAGCTGGTCATCACCAGTTGTTACATAAAATCCACTTTTCCTCGCACATCACAATCCAATCAAGAAGTGGTTCATTGTTGTTGCATAGAGTAAGAGAAGATGACACTTCAAAACGACAATTTTTTTTTTTTACTTTCGGTCAGCTCATGAAGCACCCACTTATCGAGCTTTTTCACCTTTCCAATTTGCTTCAAATGCTGAGTTACCATAGAATGGTTCAGTGGGTGTGGCTTCTTAGTGTCCCCGGTATTTCCTGGAAGGCCTACTCAGGTTGGTGATATTGGTGTTTAATCGTCCAGAGTGAGATCTGTTAAAAAACAAACAGGCATATTAAAATATTAAGAGTTTATTTGAGAAGACAGCAATTCACACACAGGGCAGCTCCAAACCAGAAGTGGTCAGGGCCCTGCCAAAGAAGTGCAAGAGAAAAGCTATTATAGGCTGAATGCAAAAGTGAGGCAAAGAAAATATTTAATTGGTTCAGATCAGATATTGCCTTATTTGGATTATCTCAGCAGAAAGTCCCTGGTAATAAAATGCTCAGTTGGCTTGTGATGGGCTGAGCTGAAGTTTCAATTTCTTTACATAGGAATGCAGGGCGATAGAATCATCTCAGCCTAATGACCTCTTATTAAGTTATTTTAATAAGTCCCACAAGGTTATGGTGAGTTTGTTAGAGGTGTTCGAACCAGAGCAACTCCATCTTGAATAGGGGCTGGGTAAAATGAGGCTGAGACCTGATGGGCAGCATTCCCAAGAGGTTAAGGCATTCTAAGTCACAGAATGAGACAGGAGGTTGGCACAAGATACAGGTATAAAAACCTTGTTGATAAAACAGATTGCAGTAAAGAAGCCAGTTAAAACCCACCAAAACCAAGAAGGTGAGGAGAGTGATCTCTGGTCAACCTCACTGCTCCACTCCCCCCAGCGCCATGACACCTTACAAATGCCATGGCAATGACAGAAAGTTACCCTATGTGGGTAAAAGGAGGAGGCATGAATACTCCAACCTTTATTTAGCATATGATCAAGAAATAACCTTAAAAATGGGCAACCAGCCTGGCCGCTCTGCCTGTGGAGTAGCCATTCTTTTATTCCTTTACTTTCCTAATAAACTTGCTTTCATTTTACTCTATGGACTCACCCTGACTTCTTTCTTGCACAAGATCCAAGAACCCTCTCTTGGGGTCTGGATCAGGACCCCTTTCCAGTAACAAGTTCCAAGTGGAGCCCTACCCAGCCTCATCTAACGCCAAACGTATCACCCTGGAAATCCAGCATAACTAATTTGTATCATTTGAAAAACAGCCTGTGACAAACCATGCCTCCTGTATGTAACATTCTGGTTCTTGCCATATCTCAGTTCCTTCCCCACAGGTCCATAACACATGCTAGTCCTGTTGCTGCTGAGTAATGGTGATCACTCTGTGGATATACTGTGTCACCTTTACCTCTATTGTCACAGGAGCCAGGAGTAACTGAGCACAGCAGGCTGACCAGGGGCTACAGCAGTGTTCCCATGGAAACCTAATTATTCTAATGCATAAGATACATACTACCTTATTACAGCATTTAGTTATAACAGCCTGAGAGTTGCATTACTTTCAGAAATGCAAGTGCCTTGTGGATCAAGTTGTAAGTTCCTTGAGAGCAGAAGCCACGTGTCAGTCAACTTCGTATCTCAATGAATTTTGGCTGATAAGCAGAGGGTAAACTTTTGGTGAAGGGATGAATGAAACCTGAAGGGGATTGGTAAATATGCCACCCCAAAATATGCCACTTTGGCATGGGACTATTTTGAGATCCGACAGATGCAGAAAGAAGTCTTCCAAGAGCTTCTCTTTCTTAAAAAATCTGACTAAAATCAGAAATTCCCGGGAAATGAGGACTGCCATAAATTGCCTCTCCAAGGGAATTGTTAAGGCCATGAAGAAGACAGAAAGTTACCGCTGAGATGGACCTGAACACACACACCTTGCCAAGATAGCCCCTGGCTTCCACGAGAGCTCCCTATATACTTACCTTCCCGTAGTGGACTGCTCTGGAAAGCCTCAAACCCTTTTTTCTTTCCTGTCAAGTCTCCACAGTTTATCATTCTTTGTTTAAAATGGTATATAAGCTCTTCGGCCTATTAGCTTCTTTGTATTTTTTTCTCCCAATAATCTGTCTTTTGTCAGTCTAATTTACAGTGCTCCAGTGAACCTAAAAGGGTAGAGGAAAAAGGGTTATTTTTTCCCCTATAAACTGAATTATAAATTCCATTACAACAGGGTCTATGTCATTTTATCTTCTTAGTAATTAACATAATAGCAGTGTTTAATCGGTCAGATGTGCCCAGTTTAGGGTCTCCAAAGAGAGAGTTGTATATATACATATATATTTCATGTGCAATATTTACAATATATTTATATTTACAATATATACAATATTGCAAAAATCCTAACAGAAACTATAACATTATTCTAAAGATTGCTGTTCATAGCAGGGATTATATCAGTTCTGTGTAGAAAGCTGTTTTTAGCAAATGTTAAGCAGTTCCTATATATGTGTTTATTTACTTCCTATGGCAGAAACAAATAATACATAAATATTATATTACATACAAATATAAATAAAGTCTTTATTATTTAGCAACTGTGATGTTTTTGTAAAGAAAATCTTTCACATAGAAAAAAATAAAAGTTGTTCTTGTTCTTAGTGGTAAATAGTATGGGAACCAGTGCAGTGCAATTCAATTTCAAAGAACTAAATATCACTAAAATTTGTTTGTTTGTTTATGTATGTATGTATTTATTTATTGAGACAGGGTCTCACTCTGTCACCCAGGCTGAAGCGCAATGGCACAATTACACCTCACTGCAGCCTCGACCTTCCATGCTCAAGCCACCCTCCCATCTCAGCCTCCCAAGTAGCTGAGTTTACAGGAATGCGCCACCACACCCAGCTAGTTTTTCTATTTTTTGCAGAGACAGGGTCTCACCATGTTGCCCAGGCTGGGCTTGAACTCCCAATCCCAATCAGATTACCTCAGATTGGGTAATCTGAGGTAATCTGCCCACCTCAGCCTCCCAAAGTACTAACTCTTATTAAAAGTTGTGATCAGAACAACTCTGTCCTTAGTTATATGGAAGTGACCTGCAGCAGGTGATGGAGAAGAATCAAAAGACTGACTAGGCAACTTTCAGTTACTTCATATGGATTTCACATTGGCGGAAAAGCAGGAACAAAAAGAATTCTTGATTCATGCACAGTTGATACCAGGAGACAATTTACTGGCCTTCATGAGATCCTCCCTGGAAGAGGATCAATATCAAGGGTGAATGAATCCTATTTCTTCACTTCCTGTTTGTTCAACCAGAAATTTCTACATATGTTGTTGTATTCGTCAGGACACTTCCAATTTCAAGTGACAAAAACTCAACTCAAACTAATTTAACACAAATGGGAATGTACTGGCTCTTACAACTGAAAAGTTGAAAAGTTGGTTTCTACTTCAGGTATGGCTGGATCCAGGACATCAGATGATGTCCTTAAGATGCACTTGCTCTACCTTCGTCTTCAGGCTGTGCTTCCCTCCTCCCTAAACAAAGTTTCTACACTGGGCAGCGCAAATTATCTCTGCAGCTTCTTGTTTAAATGGTTCTTTGATTCTGCAACTTCAGAATGACTCTCTCAGTGCAGCCCCGTATCAATGACTCTGAAATGACACTGAGTGCCTCTCCTTGGGTTAGATGCCCACTACAGGACACATCACTATATTGGGGAGGATGAGGCATGATTGTCCAATCTGGCTCAAATGCTCAGTTGTCTGGGAAAATGGCCACGTGTGTGACCACTCCACAGACATGAGAGGCTGGGATTTCCAACAGAAAGATGCTAGGCAGACAGAAGAGTTGCTTATGCCGTAAGATCAAGATCTGTGTGGAGTGTCCCCTCAACCACCCAAATCACAACCTCCCCATATATGGCCTAATCGTATGTTTGTTGTTGTTGTTCGTTTGTTTTGTTTTGTTTTGTTTCGTTTGGACGGAGTCTTGCTCTGTTGCCCAGGCTGAGTGCAGTGGCATGATCTCAGCTCACTGCAATCTCCGCCTCCCAGGTTCAAGTGATTCTCCTGCCTCAGCCTCCCGAGTAAGTGGTATTACAGGCACACATCACCACGCCCAGCTAAGTTTTGTGTTTTTAGTAGAGACGGGATTTCATCATGTTGGCCAGGCTGGTCTCAAGCTCTTGACCTTGTGATCCACCCCCTTTGGCCTCCCAAAGTGCTAGAATTACAGGTGTGAGCCACTGCGTCCGGCCCTAATCATATATTTTTGAACAAAAGGCCTAAAAAGCTTCCTTCTAGGTTTCACTCAAAACTGAAACAAAAGAAAGCAAAAAAAAAAAAAAAAACAATTCATGATTCAGGAAGCCGTGAGATTCCAGGCACTGTATTAAGTTTAAAGACTTCCAAATGTTCAACTTCTAATGAATGATTCACTTCACCTCAATGCCTCTGTTTTAGCAAAAAGTACCTGCTCTTTAAAACAGATTTACCTCTTCAGCTCAGATAGAAATTCTAAGATAGAATAATTTAAGAGCTAGAAAGGGCCAAATAACAGTTTTCATCAGGGAAATAAAACAATGTCAATTCCCTGGATTGGATACAACCCAAGAAAAGCCATTACCCAGCAGTGACATATGAAATATCTGCTTTGATTTCATGTGGGAGATTATTTAGCAATGTCAAGACAAAACATGCCAATTCCTGGCAGTTGTCAAAATGCCATTCTGAGTGTAACCCTGGGGAAAAAAAAAAAATCCTCTCCCTCTGCAAATGTCACCAAGCTTCTGATGGAAAATGGATAAATTTGCTAGTTTGGGAGAATAAAGAAAAGACGGGAAGGAAGAAAAAGTTTCCCTTTAGGAGCAAACTAGAAGGAAAAGGAGGGAGGAAAGAAGAAAGAGAAGGAAGAAAAAAAGGGAGAGAAGCAGGGAAGGTAGAAGAGTGACCTTTTAGTCTACCCTTCAGATTTATGCTAAAAGTTTGCCAGGTCAGAAAACAGGCTTTGGAATTAAGGGAGATATGAGACCAAGGACCGGCCCTACCACTGAAGAATTATCTACACTTGGTAACTTCACCTTCATTTGTCTCAGTGTCTTCACTGGAAAAATGAAAAATAATAGTACAATTAATAATGGTTAAAAGAAGCAACCTGGCCGGGCGCGGTGGCTCACGCCTGTAATCCCAGCACTCTGGAAGGCTGAGTCGGGTGGATCACCTGAGGTCAGGAGTTCAAGACTAGCCTGGCCAACGTGGCGAAATCTTGTCTCTACTGAAAATACAAAAATTAGTTGGGCGTGGTGGCATTCACCTGTAATGCCAGCTATCAGGGAGGTTGAGGCAAGAGAATCACTTGAACCCGGGAGGCAGAGATCGCAGTCAGCCAATATTGCGCCATTACACTCCAGCCTGGGCGACAAGAGCGAAACTCCATTTCGTAAAAAAAAAAGAGAAGCAACTCATGTGCAGTGCTGAGTCTGGTGCCAATCTGCAGAAAGCTCAGTAAATAAGATCTGGTATTATAGGCCTATGGAAACAGTATATCCTGGTGCTCCACGGAAAACATTGTCTTTATTTAAATTCATTGACTTAAAAATACCTAGACAGAAATTATGAATAGGCTATGCCTCTTTACTTCATAGAGAGAATGGCAAGTTTTGAATAAAAGCATACTCCCGTTTGACACATGGAAAATAGGAAAAGGCGTCTAAACAATCTTCGCATTATCAAGTCTGAACCTTTGCAGAACACTAGAGGTCCCTATTGGCACTCAATCCTCCAGCCCCAGTGATGCAGAATTCAGTGACAATTTTCTGCCTCAGCCCCACTAGATGTCTCTTCAATAAAGTTCTAATACAATTAGTGCCCTGGCATTGATTCGATGCCTGGGAATCATTACATAGAAGGAATACAGTTTTAAATAATCAAACCATTTTCCTAAATGTGCATACATTCTAGAAGCCACCCTCCACTGCCACACGCATAATTAATACCAAAGATGTCTTTTGTTTTCCAGAACCATTGCCTGGTGTTAAGACGATATCAGGGAAAGGGAGCAAAGGTGACAAGAAAGTTATTTTGATTAATTGGGAACCTTAGCTGTTACTTGGAAGCCATGGGGGAGACGCCCTCCAAGAAATTAAAAATAAGGTTACTCTCTCGGAGTTAAATCACCAAATCAATGGGAGTGCTAGCAACGTGGCTTTAATGGTCCACGTTCCAGTAAGCAGAAAAGTCAGGCTTTTGTCTTCTGCATAGCCAACTTCCTCAAAACACGAGGGAAGAGAATGCCTTTCTGAAGGAAGGCAATTTCTTCTAGTTGCATCTAATCAAAACTTTATTGTGTTGCTATTGGCTGCTGTTTTCCTCAGAAACATGGAATGACTGGGATGACACCTGATTCCCACCAGCTACCAGAACCACCTCCTTAGTTTTAACGGAGTGTTTCTTGACACCAACCACTTCAACCGCATTGCAGCATCCTGTGTTTAACAAGCTTAAAAACTCACAAGCCCACCTGGCATTTCTAACTAGCATTTATCCATTTGTCTGAATGGATCAAAGATTGCCTCATGGGCATAATAACTGACCCGTAGACATAATGGTTGTGATGCCTGGCACAGGGGGGTATTCTGTTAGGGGAGTGAGAGAGTTGTGGACAGGGAAATCACGTAGCTCGGGAAGCCTCAAACTGCAAAGATATAGGCCGGGCGCGGTGGCTCAAGCCTGTAATCCCAGCACTTTGGGAGGCCAAGGCGGGCGGATCACGAGGTCAGGAGATCGAGACCATCCTGGCTAAATTGGTGAAACCCTATCTCTACTAAAAAATATAAAAAACTAGCCGGGTGTGGTGACAGGTGCCTGTAGTCCCAGCTACTCGGGAGGCTGAGGCAGGAGAATGGCGTAAACCCGGGAGGCGGAGCTTGCAGTGAACTGAGATCCAGCCACTGCACTCCAGCCTGGGAACAGAGCAAGACTCCGTCTCAACAACAACAACAAAAAACTGCAAAGATATAGTAGCAGGTATGGGCCAGGCGCAGAGAAGCTGAAGGTGGGGTGCATGCGAGACCACAACATAGGCTGGTATTGTGTTTAAGAAATTTCAGAGTAAATGTCTTTAGGCAGGGGATTCACCCAAGTTAGCTACCGTTTCCAC